CAGACCTAAGGATGGTCCAAAGTCCTCCAAGACAACCTTTTATATTAAAAACACCTTTACATCAAATGTCAACTTTTCACTCCTATTAACATAAAATTCAAACCAATTCAACTACTTTTAGCATTACCCATCCAGGCAGTCACAGACCTTAATTCATATTTGTGTAGTATCCATTACCTAGGTTGAGAATTTTCCTCATACATTCTTTCTTTCCCCTCCTTGAAAAGGCTTATGGTCTGCTTAGTTTTCTTCATCAAATTCTCCATGAATACCCTAAAATACTCATTTTCTCCAAGTGTCTCCATCTTCCCCTCATATCTTGACAAGACAGTACGGAGATGCTGGTAGGTATCTGGCAGCAGGTCTAAGATATAAGGTGGACTATTCTTTAGTGCCAGTTTTGGGTTCTGACACAACCGCACCACCTAATAAAATGTCTATGAAAGGCTTGCGCAGTTTCCAATAAAGTAGGCATCCAATACATGTTAGGTCCCTCCCCATTTCCATACAACTTGACCAGGCTTATCTTGTCCATAAGCTTCCAGCACTTCTCCACCATCTTCTTGTCCACGGTGCCCGGCGGGTGCGGGCTGAGGTGGTGGTGGTGGTGGTGGTGCGGCTGGAAGGCGTCCTTCATAAGCCCGATCAGGCCGCCCGCGCCCGAACCCCCGGAGCCGCCGCCGCCCCCGGCGCCAGAGCTCTTTTTCACGTTGCCGGCCATGGCCCGGGTAAGGTCGGGGGCACAGCGGGTTGGCCGGCTCCGCTCGAGTGTGCCCACAGCTCCCGGCAAGCTGCTGCCAAGTTTCCGCGCCCGCCTCCATTCCCTCTCCCCATCCTGATATATAATTATTTGGAACTTATTGAATTGTAAGAGATTTTCTTTGATAAGGCATTAAAAGATCTGAACTGTCAGAAGTGGTACTTATGAAAGGTATTAGTATATTGTCATGAACTGCATGTAAGTTCAGTTAAGGTATTGACATTTTCCTATGTTCTGAAAATATTTTTAGTTATATTGATGTTTCATTGATCCAAATAGTTTTACTAGTAGACACATGTGTCTTTACATTTCCACGGCTGCAAGCTGTCTTTCTCTCTAATGTCCATTCCTTTATTTCTTTTTCATCTGCTGATCATGTTGTATTTGGCCTCTGCACATGATAGAAGGCTGCCTTCCATCAGATCCATACATCCTCCTCAGGCCTTGCATGGTCATCCACACTAGGCCACTTAATAGTCCTGGATGCAGGGCCAGTTCATTTGTCAGTGTGTATTCTTTACTCTCCTTGAAGTCCATCTCATATTTCACCTCATTACTTACGCTTTCATTCTATCAGTTTGATACTTATTTGTTAAATATATATTTGTTCTCAGTAGGATTATAGGCAAGGAAAGTGTTTTCTAAGTCCCACATAACCTTCAAAATACCTGATTTGAGTCTTATGAGTCTTAAGGCTTTAGGTTTTATGCTAGAAAATAGAGAACATATGTATTGAGAAAAAAATCATTCTGTGTTGTCCCTTTATAATCTAGTCTAATAAAATATCAAATTGTTGATGTCTGTTTTGAGTTCATGATATTGTAGCAAATCTTAAAACAAAACAAAACCTTCCTTTTGCAGTGATGGAGAATAAATTACCACCATCTTCAGTTAGCAGTCACATTGATAGTACCTGATGTATGTGACAAAATGTTACTCTTCCTGCACATTGTACCTACTTTTTTACAAAGGGAAAAGCTAACCCAAGTATTAGTCCATTCAAATGTCATTATAGAAGAAAGCATGGTTTTTGAGCTTATGTCTCTCAGGTCTGTGACCTCTGTGCTTCATGACAGCACAGAAAACCTTACATGTGCCCCATCTTATCTTGCTATGTTTTTTTCCTCTCTCATTTTCTACATGTAAACTCATTATCTAATTCCACACATAAGTGGTTGATGACAAAGCAGAAACAACATAACAGGTTCCCTAGCCAGTGAAGCAGGACTGGGCTTCACTGATTATCTTTCCACCTGTAGCATATGTAACATGCTACTCTCTGGTTTTTAGCAATACAGGAGGGTAAGTATTCAATAAATTTATGTAAGCAGAGGCCATCCATAATCTAAGTGGAGGAACCACATACTTTAAGACCATGTGAGATAGTAAGTTTTGTGTAGTAAGGATCCTAATGTAAATTGAAATCTTGCTAGGCATTTTATGAAGCACTTTTTTAGAAGACAAGAGCATCACACCATTGTTTCACTGTTTTTTCTTTGTTGAACGTCCTGACTAACTGATGGTGGTACATTGAGAAGTACTTCTTCTTATCTATTAGCATTTTTTTTCATCTTGCCATAGTGGACTCTTACTTGTATTTGTGTGAAATAACTATGCTAATGTCACTAGTTACTGTGCATTAAAGTGTACTTGATTGGGCTCATATATTTTTTTGAGGTATAAAATCAGTTTGTCCTTGTTAAAACCTCTATGTGTATAGTGATTGCTTGATAATGTATAGTATGACTTTTTTGGTTCATTTTTGCACTTGGCTTAAGAACTAGAATATTGGTTCCTCGACTCAGATTTCTAGTTTTGATTGTTACTTATGGCATACGTGTGTGAGGAGGTGGTATAGTTGGTATGTGAGCATAATGTGTATGAAATTGGGAAATACCGAATAGATGAGATTCATCTTGGAATGCCCTGGTTTTTGTCTGACTAAATGTAAACAGTGACTTGTGTCCTTTGTTGTAAATCAGTAAGCTGAAATAGAATTGATTGCTTTTTTACTTTGGCTAGAAAAGTACTGTTGCCAGAGGAAGGTAAATGGTGCGGACCTGGGCACAAAGGGGAATAGGCAAAGACAAACTTGTCAGTGTTTGTCCTGCACTTCCAAAGAAGAAAGAGCACCTGACCTGATAGTCATGAGTAATAGTCATTAAAGAGACATTTGCTGTGGGTCATTTCTTATCTTAATCCACTAACTTTTTTCCCACTATGCCATAAAAATAACTTCACAAAGGTCGTTGATTACCTCTAAACCCAGGAGAGGCTTGTATCCCTCATGTGTGTGACCTCTGTGCTTCATCAAACAGAATTGACACTTTCCTCCTGCCTCTTCCCCTGATGTTTCATCCTGCTTCCTTTTGGACCTTTCTCTATTCAATATAACTTATAAAATTGTATTATATCATGTTTATTTTCATACCTTGTTTAACACTTTGTATTTTCACATGGATTTTTTTTTTTTTCCTACCTTTGGCAGTGTTGGGATTCAAGCCCGAGGCCTTGTGTGTACTTAGCCAGTGCTTCACCACTGAACTATTACCCCGGCCCTCATGTGAACTTAATGGTCATTATGTAGATCTATCATAATCCTAAAAACCATAGAAATTATAAGAGATGCTCATTTTGAAAAGTCATTGACAAAAAATAAACAAATAAAAAAAACCTTCTATGTAAACAACAGGGAGCTACCTATTTTCCAGGCTCCCTGTCCATCTCTAGGGGCAGCTTTTCCTTTCTCTCTAATAAATCCTACCTTGTGTGCCCCCCAAAAAAAAAAGAAAGAAAAAATCTATACCCAGCCTAAGTGATTTGTGTTTTAAAGCAGCAGAAAGATTTTCTTAGATTGATGAGGGCCTGGGAAATACATCATATCATAAATAGAAATGAAACAATCCCTTCACAAGACCCTGGGTTGCTGGGTGCTTAATCAGAAAAACAGATATAGTATGTGTGGGGGGCATTAGTAGGAGGGAGAAGGGTGAATGAAGGAGATGAAGGTATGAAGGTGAGGGTATGTGGTAGATGGACCTCATATACTTATATGAAATGGAACAAAGAAACCTCTTGTAATTGCTTTAAGTGGGGAGGGGAGGGGGTTGTTGGGGAGAAAGGATGGGATGATCTGACCAAAGTACACCATAAGCCTAATCGGAAGTGTCACTATGAATCTCCGCCACCCCCCCATAATAATATATATAATGAATATATCCTAATAAAAACTTTTTATAATAAAAAAGAAAGGTTGTTGTCATACTATTAATATATTAAAATTATACTTTGATGAGGTGGAGATTTGGCTCAAGCAGTAGAGTGCCTGCTTTGTAAGCATTAAGTTCAAATCCAAGTCCCATTTAAAGAAAAAAAAAAAGAAATCATATTTTGAAACCATATATAAGGAGGAGGAATAGCAGACCAAAGAATTTTAGTTTTATCAAGTTATTTATAATTTAAGCCTAAGGATGGACAATATTGAATATTACTGGAATGTACATGGAAAATGTGACCTTAGGTTATTAAAAACTGTTTCTCTGTTTTCTTATCTATAATATAACTGTGTGATCTCTAAAGTCTTTTCCAGTGTAACATTCTGTGATGTGACTCAGTACATGTTGAGAAATCTGCAACAGATTGTTCTCTGTACCACAATAGCTTGTTTTCTAATGGCTCTGATTATTATAGATTAGAGTACATGAAATGTTAATTTTTAAAATACTGTGTTCACTACTTTATTAAAGTATTTGTCATGTGGCATAATTTTCCTTCTAATGGATCTAAATGCCTGTCCTGTGAATTTTTATAATTTTGTATTTTTTTAAACAGACAATAGAGCCTACAATAGTTATAGTAAATGATTTGTCTTTACATTTGAAAACATCTTATACATAAAGATTAATAATTAGGAACCACAATAATTAAGAGCCATAATTTAAAATATGAATCTGAAAACAGAGAAATACAGAATTTTAAAAAATTCTTATTTAAGTTTTTAATTAATGATATTCTCTGTAATGATCTGGTGTCAAATTAAAATTTCACATCTTTTCTCCATTGAATTCAGCACCTTTTGATGCTAAATACTTGAGCCTACTGTGAGTTTGACTCATTTATTTTATTTAAAATTGTATATTATTAAGGACATTGAGAAACTTGTCCCACTACTGCATCCATGTTGTTAAGAATCAAGTCACACATTTTACTTACTTAAGCTCATCTGTATTTATTTTAACAGTAACATATTTGGTCTGCGGCCGGTGGATTATGCAGAGAGTGAAAATATGAAGTCATTATTGCTGCTACCAGAGAATAGTGAATCATCTTCAACTAGCCATTGCTCGGTAGTAAGTATGGATTTAGCTTTGGGACATTTATATCTTTTATTGAAATTGGTTATGAAAGGAACATAATGGAAGAATTTCCAGTTAGTAAATTGCTTTCATTCACCAAACAATTATTGAGCATTTCCTGAGTGTTAGCTTCTGTGGATGATTCAAAGACATAATCAGCATAAAACTATAAAGACATAGTTATTGAAACCTTCTTACAGATATTTTAGGCAGCATTCATATAACAGTGAATATGACTGATAGAACTCTCATTTCAAGGAACATACCTGCTAGTGAAAAGTAGAAGAGTCGGGCAAACTAATATAAAAGAAATAATTTCAGAAGCTTATAAATTAGTTAGGTTGAGGTGGTAGGTTTCTGAAAGGGCACTGCATTAGTCAAGGCTGTGGAGATGGGCCTTGAAAGAACTGATTGGAATTGACACCTGAATGCTGAGAGGAGGCACCCCGGTGGCCATCTAGAGGACCTAGTGTAGAGGCCCCCCAGTGGATGAGGCAGATATGGTAGAAGGTTAGAAAGAAGTTCTATTGCTGGAGGCCAGTGTCTGAGAATAATGGGAAATCATTGAAAGGATTAAAAGCAAGGGAATGAAATGATGTTTTTTTTGTTTTGTTTTTTTTGCTTTAGATTATTCACTGTTTCTGCCTCACAAAAGAGAGATTGTAGGGTGTGGGCAAGAGTGAAGTAGTGAGATTACTTAGGATTGTGACAGGAGAAGGATACCAATATGGCTTGGAGTCAGGGATTCAGCATTAGAGGTTATAAGAAGTAATGAAGTTCAGTATATATGGTTGGGTTAATGCCAGCAGGGCTTTTGGATTTTATGTGACCATAGTAATAGATGGTGGTGCCATTTGCCAATAAATGGCAGTAGTCCTCTATGCCAGTTTCATGTCTACTAATGGAGATGTTCAATAGGTGGTTGCATATTTGAGCCTGGAGCTTAGGAGAGAGGTACAAGCTATAGTTAAATTGGGAAGCAGTCCTCTTCCTTAGGAACCTGTAGCTTAGTGAGGAATACAGATATAAAAATTTTACTACACTTTATAATAAATTTATAATAGAAGCTATAAAATGTACAGTAGAATCAGAGAAGGAGAAAGGTAATTTCAGGAGGGGTCAGGAAGAACTTCACAGAGAAGGTGGCTAAGTCCTTGAGGGTAAGAGTTTTAACAGGGTCTCTGCATATAACAAGTGCTTAAAGACAATTTATGATTTTTTCTTTTTTTTGGGTGGTACTTGGGTTTGAACACAGCTTCATGCTTGCTAAGGCAGATGCTCTACCACTTAAGCCACTCCATCAGCCCTTTGTTTTCGGGTATATTTTTGAGATAGGGTCTCACCTTTTGCTGAGACTGACCTTGAACCATGATCCTCCTGATTAGCTAGGATTACAGATGCGAACCCGACTCAATTTATTATCTTAAAGTAAAGGAAATCCTAATGTAAGAAATCTCCGTATTTGGTTTATTCAGCAGTTAGTGATTGTACCAAGAACCCAAATTGTTTATGTTTAGTTAGCATCCTTGATTTGGTGGCTCTGCCCTTACAGTTCCATGTGTGACTGACCAGCTGAAAAAGAGGTACTAAAGCCTTTCTGCAAACTTCCCTTGTCTTATTGGTCAGAACTGCTCACAAATGGGTTTTCTTATACCCTAAGGTTGGAGATAAGAGCTGTCCTTAAAGGGTAGGTACCTGAACAGAGTTGGGCTTCTGTTAGTATGAAGGAAAGGAAGAATCACTGTCTACTCTTACTAGTTACATTCAAATCTAAGGAACACTGTTCAGAGGAAAGGCAGCATAAAGGACTTTAGAAACTCTAGTAACTATAAGATTAAGTGTGAGAGGAGCAGAAAGTATGTTAAAGTGGGATTCAAGATAAAAGGCTAAGTTGGGATCAGCTTGTGAAAGACCTTGACTTCCCTGATGGGGAGTTAGACTTAATGGGGCACTCAGTATATCTTTCACTAGAGCCGGATAGTTTAGTGGATAGTTGGGGTTAGAAGAGACTGAGCCTGGACGGGAGGCATGAAATGGTGAGGCCCGGAATTAATTAGTGATGTGGGTAGAGAGAAGAGGTGGGGCTTGAGAGAGGATGGGGAGGGAGAGGAGGGAAGAGATGTAAGGGAGAGGGATAGACTGACTAAATTCTAGCAACTGCTCAGATGGAGGAATGGCCTGAGCTGAGGCTAATCCCAGGAGCCTTCTTGTCTGGGAAGGGCAGTGCAGTAGTGATTATGCACTTAAGATAATGGAGGAAGCTTGAGTTACTTAAAATTTCATGCGATCATAGGTGCTATCATGAGATAGTTACCTTTACACCTTGAAACCCCTTTATCTCCTGCTTAGACTTTGTCCTTATAAATGTGCTCCAAATTACAGTTTTGTAAAAGAACTTAAGGAGAACCTAGAAGTCAGCAGTTTAATTTCTTTCTTTTAAAAGTGAGAAAATGGAGACCTAGAGAGATTGTGATTTGCCCAGGGTTATTAACCAGACATTAAAATTTTTTGTTAACGGATCAGTTAGAACTCAAATTTCTTAAGTCATAAGTTATTTCTCATTCATTTCCACCATACTTAATAACTATAAATCGGTACTTATTTTATTCATTTGTACTTAAACTCTTGACAGAACAGAGCATATCTAAGTTATCATTTGCCAGTGTTCCTTTTATGGAAAAACTGAAGAAGGATTATTTTAAACGTTTCAGAAATAAAGATATATTTATGGTATTCTTGGAGTCCAAAGATTGCAGTGCCCTTAAGAAAAGAAGAGTTTTTTTATTATGAAATATGAGATACCTTTACTTTTGGTGTGTCCTTTGACATGGCCTGTGAATATCATTGCTTATCACATGCATGGTTGATTATGGCTAAGGAAAAGCTCATGATAACAAGTATTTCCAAGTTGAAAGGGTAGTTTATTTACAATCTTTAAGATGTGAACTTTGGGATGTGGTCCCTTCCCAGCCAATACCAGACTCCCTTTCACTCACTCTTTTTCAGCCATGTGGGCTGTCTAGCTGTGTCTTGAGTCCACCAAATATGCTTCATCTCAGGTCCTCAGCACTAATTTTTCTCTGCCAGAAACAGCTGTGGGGAGCCAGGTGCTCCCCTGGCTTGTTTCCTTGCACCCTTCAGATATGAATGTGTCACTGTCTTAAATAGCAGCCTCCTAATGCTGGTCTCTGTTCTGTTTTCCCCTACTGCTGATCATCTGACAGCAAATGTTTTTATTTTGTGTTTTTTTCTTCCCAATTAAAATATACGTGTTGTGAGGGGGGACTGATTGTCTTGTCTACTATAGTAGCCCTGGCACAGAGAACAGTGTGGCAGGTACTAAGTGCTCAGTGTACGTTGTGTACATTGATTGCACAAGTGAGGAGAGTGCTGTGTGGGGTGCATACTTGCCCCTGAAACAAGCACACATGCTTCTGCTGAGTCTAGAATCATGTCTCTGTGATCTTAGCTGTTCTGAGGAGGCACTTCAGGTGTGCAGAAGGAAAGGGATGATAGGTAGGTTGGGTTTGAATTCCTCTGCCTCCCATTCATAATTCTTGTTTATTTCAAGTAGTGGTTAATGGCTGTTGGAGGCACTGCTTTGAGTTTCAGAAGCAACCACTGATTTTAACTAAAAAACTGCTCGCAGTTTTGGGATTTCTCTTCCCCATGATTCCTTTGGAGCAGCATCCATTAACTAATAATTTAACAAACAGTACCAACATTAAATTATTAAGTAGGAGATCATTTAATGCTAATGAACACAATATCTAATCTCTGTAAAATCTTTGTTAGAGCACTTCTTGCCTTCTCATCAGCAGCATGGATTTCTCTCTATATGTGTATCTAATCTCCTAACTTTTGATTTCTCTTGTTTGTTTCATCTAGAGTTTACTGTTTCAATGATAAAAATTTGTTTTCTTTGGGTTCAGTTCTGGTCCCGAAGTCTCAGTGTTTTTACTGTTTATTTTATTTATTTATTTATTGTGTTAGTGGGGTTTGAACTCAAGGTCTACACCAGCCCTTTTTAGTGAAAGTTTTTTTTGAGATAGGACTTTGAGAACTATTTGCCCTGGCTGGCTTGGAACCGAGATCCTCCTGATCTCTGCCTCCTGAGTAGCTAGGATTACAGGTGTGAGCCACTGTCACCTGGCTAGTGTTTTTATTTTTCAGATCATCTCAGTTAAAACTAAATAGGTCAGTTTTTTTTTTTAACTATTAGAATGAGTTAGTGGAGGAGGCATAGGAAATTGATCATTTTAAGTGGATGTTTTAAATTACTTATGGAAAAAAGGCTTACTGACAACAGGAGGAGGTTGTAAAACTCTGCAGAGATCCAGTTTAGCACCAAGGAAACAGATTCCCTGGGTATAGAGAGCTATCCCAATTATGTTTTCTTGGGAAGAAAATAAAGAAACAGAAAAAATAGATAGTCAAATGCATTGAAAATGAAAGTTCTGAGTGCAGAATGAATAGGAATTATTGACAGATAATTAATAGAGTAAGGTAAGTAATGAAACTCAACCTTCTGTTCAGTGAAGGTTTGTTGAACATCTCTTTCTAGTCTTTAAATGTTTTTACCACAGTGGCATCTCCTTTTCCACTAACAGGTGAACACTGGGCAGCGTAGGAATGAACCGCTTGTGCTTATTGGTAGTGGGCTTTCTTCAGAACAGCAGAAAATGCTCAGTGAGCTTGCAATAATTCTGAAGGCCAAAAAATGTGCTGAGTTTGACAGTGCAGGTAAGGATTTTGTCTTTTTGTTAGCAAAACATTTAAAAAAAGAAAGAAAGATTTACTTAGCTCTCCTTTTGGAGAACTACCTTTAATAATTTATATTTGTTTTTACCATTGGAATATGGCTATATACTTTTCATTTTGTAATAAATAAATTGCTTATAGGCTTAATGTAGTTAGAATATGTAAAACTTAAATCCTTATACATATTTCAGGACAAAATAGTATGTCAAAAGAATAAATTTATAAGTTTTCTAATGACAAATTGGAGTGTAATGGCATAATTCCTCAGTATAATTTCAAAATAACAGAAAAATTTGTGTTCATGAATGTAGCTTTAAGATATATCGTTTATGGTCTGATTTTTTTCATGTTGATAACCAGGTTAGTGAATGGTACTAAATATACTTATACTTAAATGTAAAAATTGTAACTTTTGAAGTATAAGCTAATAAAATAGACTAACTGGTTATAGAAAGTAGGCTAGTTAGAGAATTGTTTTGGTTTATATTTCTGGTTTTTCTTACTGCTTGTTTTGTGTCTTAGTAACTCATGTCATTGTTCCTGGTGACGAGGTTCAAAGTACTCTGAAGTGTATGCTTGGGATTCTCAATGGATGCTGGGTCCTGAAGTTTGATTGTAAGTATTGGGTTTGGGAGAACTATACAGGGAATTAATATGAGTAGTTAGTGCAGGTAGTCTCCACAATTATTTATGGAACTTTTGCTAATTTTCTTATCCCTTCTTAGTCACTATATTTTCAAAAAGATTCTCATATCAATGGTATCATTTTGATACTCTTATTAAATGTGTACAATTGTGTTCTGATTTTAAGGGCGTTTTTTTCTACAATACCAACTATTTTAATAAAAAGTAAATGGAGTTTATTGTTGACTTAGCAGTCCTTATTACTGTTAAATGACATGTATAACAATATATACATGTTTTAAAAACTCTGAATGTTAGGTCAATGAAATAAAATTAGTTACTGCTTTCCTTTTAGGATTTGTAAATTGCCTTTATAACACCTTTTTGCTTTCTTAGCTAACTCAATATTTCTAGGCAGTTGTTGGGAAATTTATACTACCTGTGCTACCCAATCTGAGGTGACTACACCACCTGTTAAGTTATTCTCCACTAAAGATATATCCCTGTTCCCTGTTGGCAGTCACACACAGACCTGCTGTCGACATTCCTTGCTGGCATTTGTGGGTTTTTCTTAACCTTGGATTCACTTGGGACTTAAAGTAAAAGGAGAACTCATAACTAGTTACTTTCTGTTCCTCAATATTTTTATATTCTATTCCTGAAGTATTTGCTTTTGATATAATAGCTGACGTGGGACAGGGGATTGACCTATTTTTGTTACCTAGTTTAGAAAAGATTAGTGGCTACAAAGGAGTAGCACAAGGGAGTGTTGTGATAGTTGAGGGTCTTGGTGGAAGTGGTGGCTATGATGCTCATGTGATAAAATTTCATAGATCTATGTGTATACACATACACATTAATGCATATATTGTTCTGGATTGTATCGATATCAGTTTACAGAGCTTATGCTAAAATTGTATAAGATGTTAACATTGGACCTGGAGAACAGGTGCATGGGACATCTGTATATTTCTTTGCTATTTCTTATGACTGTAATTATTTCAAAATAAAAAGTTAAAAAGACTAGTGGGTATACTTAAAGTTTCTTTTGAAGAAGCAATGATGGATTAAAATTTGTTTTAAAACTGTTTTATGGCTTTGTGCTTTGAAAGTTTTATGGTGGAATGCTTGATTTATCAAGGTCTTAATTGTATTATCCATTTAATCTGTACTTTGAGGTTGATTTGGTTTGAAAAGATTTTCTTTCAGCAATCTATATTCACATGCTTTTTAAATACAGCTCCACATCTTTGTTAAGGTGCCTATTCTCCACTGATACAATTGGATCCTGCTAAGTAGCTTGACTGCCAGTACCATTCCATCTGTTCTCATCAGCCTCTGTTATTAGTCCCTCCTAGTTAAGACCCATGTGAGAAATATGATAAATAAATAATTGGACTGATTAACAATTTACATTGGAAAAAAATTTTTCTGTTTACAAGTCTTTTTTTTAAACTTTCTTTTCTCTTCCAAATCTGTAGGAAATCTTACTAAGCCACAGAGTTTAAAAAACTCACTGAGATAGCTTAATGGCTGTGGATTATTTTATCACACCTGTGCCAGAAATCTTGTCAGTAGTTATAAGAAGAGATAGACTTTTATAACAATAAGGTTTCAGTAATAAAGAAACCATGTGAAGTTTTGAGTGTTAAGTTGCTTGTAACTTAACTTTGAGTCTAGTTTTTGAGATTGTGCTGAACTGGCATTTGATTACATATACAGGCTACATGATTTATGTCCATAAAATGTACCTTCTTTTGGGAAGGTGAGTTTTGTTGTTTTAATGGGTTGGCCATGCCATTTTTATAGAATCACTGATGGATTCAAGCTGACTTAATAGTGTGCTATTAGGTGATTCTCACAGTAGTGTATAACATCTTCTATTATCAGTGGTTCTTTAAGGATAAAGGATGGATTGAATCTCATTGAAGTTCATATCCTCATATTTTCTAATAGAGTCCAAAGAGAAACAGGTTCAAGGTTTGAGGCAATTACTTTAAATAGTTAATGGGTTTATGAAAAGAAGGCAAGAACTCCCAAGTACCTTCTTTCCTGATAGAGATTTTTCATAGTTTGTTCTTAATGTCAAGGATTTCACTTTGATTTCAAAGTTGTTCAGAGAAGTTAAAAACTACTTGAACATCATCTATATTAAAGAAAGATAAAGTGGACCAAAGCTTTCAAAATTAATTATGAAGATTTAGACTTACTAAAACTAGGTCTTCTGTTTGAGTGTAGTCATTAGCTTGATAGTAGACAAAACATTACTTGATCAACTACTAAGAAACTTTAATGTGAACTACTTATAGGATTTTCCATAAACTAAATAGATCCACAGTAATTTTAATTAAATTTTCTCTGTAGATTATTGACTCATTTTACAAATTAACAAAAAGAATTATACTTGAGAAGTTTTCATCTAGTAGATGTAAATTTAATTGTTGGAAGTTTTCTGTTTAGCTGGATGTGGTGCACACACCTGTAAATCCTATCACTCTGGAAGCTGAGGTAGGAAGATTGCAAGTTCAAGGTGAGGTTGGGCTATATACCCTCCCACTACCCCCAAAATTTTCCATTTAAAAGTGTTTTGTCTTAATTGGTTAGTAGTTCTTATTTTTTTAATTATATTTGTAGATTATATTAGAATGCCACAGTTAATAGAGTTACAAAATTTGTGAGGGGCTGTGGATGTAGCCCAATGGTAAAGGGCCTGTGTTCAATCCCCAGTGCCACTAAAAAATTAGACGGAAAAGATCAAATTTTTAGTGAGACTCTGCCTCAATCCTAGTTTTGATACTAATTCCTTATGGGCAACTAATAACCACCCTTGTATAAGAATTAATGTTGGTAATTAAACATGACTGTAATGGAAGAATAGAAGATGTATAAATAATCTTTTAGAGAGAATGTGAGCAGTGAAACTGCATCCTAATGATGCAAAGTAACCTTCTTTAGTATACCACTTTCAAAATTTCTTTTAGTGTAATCTCTTTTGTAAAACATGTAATTCTGCATCCTCATTCCTCATTTCTTTGTGAAGGGAGAGCGATGCAAAGTAACCTTCTTTAGTATACCACTTTCAAAATTTCTTTTAGTGTAATCTCTTTTGTAAAACATGTAATTCTGCATCCTCATTCCTCATTTCTTTGTGAAGGGAGAGCAGATGGCTGCCATATTTTCTTTAATAATCTCTCTCCCCCCTTTCTCATCTAAGTTTAAATAAAATTTCAGCTGTGGAATTACAGCACATAAAGGAATGGCTGAGGAATGTGCCAGACATTTTATACTGGACCTCTGACTGTGAACTGGAGAAGGGCCAGCTAGGGTGGTTTTCATTTGTACTTTTGTTGTAGTTGAGGAGAGAAGGTCCCTAAAAGACAGTATGACATCATTGGTTTATAGTAACGTCATAATCAGGCTAATAAATTCATTGTTTTCTATTTGCTTGCTTGTTTAAATGGCTACAAAGAGTGCTATGGAATTTTAAAGATAAATGTAATTTTTATTCTGTTCAGTAAACTTTGTTAATTATCAAAACATAGGTAGATATGCTATAAATGTTTCTATAAAGTAAGATTGATTTGTCAACTTCACTCATACCAAAGGCAAATCAAAGATCTCCATCAAAGATTCTCTAGGAATAAGATAATTATTTGATGTCATAGTCTCATGTTTTAGAAGTTACCCTAAGTAAATATCACAGAGGAAAGAAATTCATGTTGTTGTTTCTAATAGCAAGAAGTACAAATAGGGAAAGAAATTCACATTGTTGTTTCTAATAGCGAGAAGTACAAATGGGGAGAATAATCTAAGTATGAGAGAACTAAGATTCTGAAATGCTTAAAGCTATTCTCTGAAAAAAATTCTTATTTTTATATAAGTAAGACTAAAGAATTATGAAAGTATTTCAGTTTTAAAAATAAAATCACTATATCTTCACTTTTAGGAACGTATAAGTGTACATATTCATAAAGAAAAAAAAATCCACAAGAAAACAGTTGTAGGTTGGTGGGTTACTGAAGAGGCCAGTTAGTTTTTAACAATTTTATAAATGACATGTGTATGTTTGATTAAATTCAAGTTCTCTATGAATAAATTCAAAATGCCAAATTCTAGTGTCAGAAAATATGTTTTCTCTTTCATCTTTTCCAAAGATTAGTTGGTCAGCTAAGGGCTTTGATCTTAACAAGAGAAATTAGAACTTAGGGATGTAAATATCTCAGCCTGATTTGCCAGATCTGTTGTACTTGCTATGCAGACCTGTGAAGTACATTAGAATATAATAATTGTCCTAATCAGATGAGAAATTCTTACATAGATATTGAACATTTAATATATGACTAAAAAGAACACTGAGAATGAATTTTTTAATTATCATGGGAATTTTTGGACATTAGACTGAGTTTGATTTTTATATCTGTAAGTACAATAATAATAGTATAAGATGTCAGAATTGATACTCAAGTGGTCCTTGAGAAAGTTTTATGATAGAGTATATTTTTGTGATAGAATTTGATTTCTTCTCCATATGCACTAAGCAAAATAAATTTAGCATATTGTCTTAGGCAGAAATATATTTTTATATGTAAATTTGCTTATAACCAGAATATTAGCTTAAAAAGTAGCCAAAAATAAATAATTGTTAAAATACAATTTATATAGAATCACAAAATCTACTAATCTGTAACAGTAAGTAATTTCTATGATGTCCCTAGTATTTATGAGGGCATGAGTGGAACATTTAGCTTTTATTTCCATTTTTCAGCCTTCATTTCATTGTCTTTTCACTCTTTGCCATGGAGTTTCATACACTAGACTTACTCCTCTATTCTTTTTCTTGCCACCCAGTTCTTCAAAACTGCAGTGATAGTGTCATTTTTCCCTTGTTATCTTTGTTGTGGAGGTTTCTTCTTGTGATTTTCCTTTTTTCCCCCTTAAGTTTAGTGCTATCATTGTCTACATTTGTCTGAAAAGCCTAATATGAAAGCATT